ATTCAACCTCGACAGCCGTGATGGGTTCAGCTGGTTGAGTGTTGGGCAGGCCGGACGAGATGGATGAAGGGGACGGCGGGCTACAGTCTGCATGATCAGCCAACTCAGACGCGGCAGCCTCGACGACTGGAACTGATTCGACCTCGGCAGCCGTGACGGGTTCAGCAGGTTGAGTGTCGAGGGGGCCGGAAGGTTGAGTGTCGAGGGGGCCGGACGAGATGGATGAAGGGGACGGCGGACTCAAGTCGGCATCTTCAGTTGGGTCCAACTCAAAAGCCAACAAGACATGAGGCGCTGGCTCGTCGGCTGGAATTGATTCACCCTCGACAGTCGTGATGGGGTCAGCTGGCTGAGCGTCGAAGGGGCCGGACGAGATGGATGAAGGGGACGGCGGGCTCAAGTCGGCATCATCGGCTGTGTCCAACTCGAGAGCCAACAAGAGTTGAGGTGCTGGCTTGTCGGCTGAAACTGATTCAACCTCGGCAGCTGTGACGGGCTCAGGTGGTTGAGTGTCGAGCAGGCTGGACGAGATGGATGAAGGGGACGGCGGGCCAAAGTCCCCATCGTCAGCTGACTCAGACTCGGCAGCCAATGCGCGCTCAGCTGCTGCATCGTCGGCTGAATCTGATTCGACCTCGGCAGCCGTGACGGGTTCAGCTGGTTGAGTGTCGAGCAGGCCGGACGAGATGGATGAAGGGGACGGTGGGCTAAAGTCGGCATCTTCAGCTGGGTCCAACTCGAGAGCCAACAAGAGTTGAGGTGCTGGCTCGTCGGCTGGAATTGATTCAACCTCGACAGCCGAGATGGGTTCAGCTGGTTGAGTGTCAGGCAGGCCGGACGAGATGGATGAAGGGGACGGCGGGCTATAGTCTGCATCATCAGCTGACTCAGACTCGGCAGCCTCAACGACTGGAACTGATTCGACCTCGGCAGCCGTGACGGGTTCAGCAGGTTGAGTGTCGAGGGGGCCGGACGAGATGGATGAAGGGGACGGCGGGCTCAAGTCCACATCATCAGCTAAGTCCAGTTCGAGGGCCAACAAGAAGTCACCGTCGTTGCTTGAAACGAGCTGCGGGGCGTCAACATGCTCAGGGACTGGTTCCTTTTCAACCTCGTCGGCCGAGGTGGGCAATGGAAGAATCAGAGTAGAATCACCAGGATCCATGGAATGGAACTCGGCAGGCACTGCTGCCTCATCAATCACAACTGAATTGACTTGTGGGGTCATGACAGGTGGTGAAGGTGCGGCTGGTTGACTGTCAACCAGGTCGGCCGAGATAGATGCAGAAGGCACAGCAACTTCTATGAGAGCTACAGGAATGAGAGTGGAGAGGCTGGTCAGGCCCATGACGCCAGGGTCAACTCATCAAAAAAAAAAGAAACTTACTTTCCTTTTTGCACGAAAGGCCACTCATGCCACGTGAGACTGGGAAGAGATCTGAGTTCTGACTCCTCATGCCAGGGGTTGTCATCAGAAGGGGGGGCGGCCAATGTACAACCATCATAGCCGGTTGAAGCTGAGGCCAACACAGGCGACGCAGAAGAATCCCGACTAGATGAGGTTGCGACGTCGCAGGCCGGGATCGGTGAAAATGTTTCACGCCAGGTAGAAGGAGGCGAAGCCATGTCGATATTGTCAGGTGAAGCTGAGTCGGACTGAGATGCCTCGACATGTCCGGAGGATGATTGACTGGCAGTCTGGTCAACAGAAATGGCCGACGAGAGTTCTTGAGGAGTTGGAGTGCCCGGCGATATGTTGGCATTGCGAACCGCACACAACCCGGCAGCCAACACAGGCTTGAACACCGAGGCGATTTCGAGCAGTTCGGCGAAGACGCAAGGCGCGCTTGCTGAACTAACTCCCGGAACGGTAGCTTCTGTGGGGGCTGTGGGAGGAAAGCCCAAAATTGGATTAGGATCTCTAGTTGCACGACCTCAGCTGGGGAGCGAAAAACTTACCGATGTCAGGGGCCACGAAAGGACCCGGAGCAGAAGAGGTTTCGGCTTCGTCGGTTGGGATGGATGGAAGGGTTTCATGAGAGGTTGAAGTAGGCGAGGCCATGTCGACATCATTAGCTGAAGCTGATTCGAACTGAGGTGCCTCGTCAGGTCGGATGGATGTAAGGGTTTCATGAGAGGTCGAAGTAGGCGAGGCCATGTCGACATCATTAGCTGAAGCTGATTCGAACTGAGATGCCTCGATATGTCCAGAGGATGACCTTGTGGCAGTCTGGTCAAGAGCAATGGCCGACGAGAGTTCTTGAGGAGTTGGAGTGCCCAACACTGTGTCAGTATCGCGAGCCGCGCACAACTTGTAAGCCAACGCATGTTCAGGTGTCGATGCAATTTCGAGCTTGTCGGGGAAGATTGAAGATGTGCTTGCTAAACTAGCTCCTGGAGGGGTAGCTTCTGTGGGACCTGTAGGAGGAGAGCCAAAGGGTGGATTAGGCTCCCTAGTTGCACAACCTCAGCCGGGGAAAAACTCACCAGTGGGTGGAAAAGCCAACTCAAGGGTTGCAAGAGACTTCATCGTCTGGCTCTGACCGATCAATGTGGGGGTACCTGAGCAATCATTGCCTTTGGCCACATCGAAGATTTCGTCCAGAGGGCACGGGTACCAGTCGGTGGCCAGATCTACAAGTGGTTCCACAACTTGTGGAGTGGGTACGAGTGGTTGATATATGTGTGGGAGCGCTGGCGGGTGATCGAGCAAATTATCCTCAGATGCCAATTTGGTGGAGTGACTGGGCACTGAATACCAACCGTGAGTCGGGTCTAGCGATGAGAGTTCTTGAGCAACCGATACTGTTGATGTGACAGCAGTTTCGACAAGGACCGAGTTGCTTTCGGCATGCTTAGGGCCAGTCGGAGGATCACGAATGTCAGTAGTCTTGGGCGAAGGAGGGGCTGGCTCAGGCACAAGGCTGGGGGTGGAGGGCTTGGAGACCCCTGCCGGAGGTAGGTAGGTTGGTGGATTTGTAGTGCTGGAGGACGGGGGGGCTGGCTTTGCCACAATGAGGTTGGGAATGGATGGCTTAGGGACTCCAGGCGGAGCGAGGTAAGTTGGATATGTTGACTTATCTGCCGGAACATCCGAGAAGATAATTTTGCCGTTTCGAGGAAATCTCATGTCAACAATCCCGGGGTTTTGTGCATGTGGCTGATGGTTGGTGGAGGATCGAGGGGAAACCGCTGTCTTGTGTGGTATGCCGACTGGAGTTGGAACATCGAACCGGACCTTGGTGTTGGGGTTCATCGTCGCGGCCTGTTCCGTGTTGGGGGAGGGGACGCGGATGGGTTTTACGTCAGCTTCACCTTCCGACGAGTCACTGGCCAGCACGGCTTCGGCCACAGCGCGGATTTCGTCATCTTCCGACGAGAGTTCAGTCAATTCGGAGCCGAAGTCGTCATCAGGTGCCGGGGTGCTTGGCGCAGATACCACACGTTTCGTTTTGGCAGGATTGGACGTGCGCGGAAGGACAGGGTGGCATGGAGATGCACCTTTCTTGGGCAGAACGGCTGGTTGGGGAGGCTGCTTTGAGGGAACATCTTTTGGGGAAACGGCGGGTTTCTTGACACTCCGGTCTAAATGGACCTCACTGATAGGCACCGTTGCAGAAGTCCCTCGTTTGGAACTGCCGGGTTGTTGATGAGTTGAGGCAGGAGAAGCGAAGCGCGGAGATTTCCTCGTGCTAGGGGTAGATTCCGTATTGCCTGGTGCTGCAGTCCGCCTGGTAGACTCCCGCTGCGGCGTTTGGAAGGATGGACCTGTGAACGTCGTCAGTGCGTGTAGCAGAAGTCCGGCTTGTGCATGAAGATAGTCCGACTTACTTGAGGTCTTAGGGGACATCTTCGATTGCGCTTCGCCATCGAGCATAGTCGTGTCCGACACTCGCCGGCTGGTTCGCCGAGGAGACGGCCGCTCCGGCGTTTGGTTGGAGAGACCTTCGAGCGTTGTCAGTTCATGTAGAACACGTGATAAGACCTCATCAGAACAGCGGCGGCATTAAAACATGAGGGAAAGTAAGACAAACCTGCAGATGAACGGTTCTTAGCTTTTTCGCTACTTCCCGCTTCTATAGCGGTGTTCCGCCGGCGCAATTCGATTGGGGTATCTTCGTCTTTCAAGTAGCGACCAGTGCGCACATCGAAGATGCCCGCGCAGGAAGCCTTGACGCTGCAGTGAGTTTGTAGGAGTTCCTAACAGTTGCAGGTTGAGCAAACGTCAGATTAGATATGATCAGCCCATCCAGGATGAAGATTGTGGCGTTAGACATGAGTGTCGCTTACAGGGATCCTAGGCAGAAGGTGTTTTCGGAACAACCTGAGAGCCAGTATGGACCAATGAAAAGTCAGCAAGCGTGTAGGATGATGAGGCAAGAACCGCTGCGTTGATGAGTAGATCACAAGTGGAGCAACTTACGCCGCATGATCGGCCTTTTTGTTGCTTGAGGCAGGACGTATAGAATTTTCCAGCAGGATACCACGTATTTCTTGCACTTTGACCTTCATGGGATTGAAGTCTGGGAGCATCCAATCCGGCGGGGGTTCAGGATTAGTCGAGCAGCTGATAATTTCTTCGATATTCATCGTAATCAGCTGAGATAGGTTAGCGTTTCTGGTTTATCAATTTTTTTTTGTACTTTTTATCAATTTTTTTTTGTACTTTAAGTTTTTCGGAGGCAGTCAAAATCAAGAACAATCGATCAAGTAGGAAATATCAAAACAAGAAAGAGGAACAAGAAAGAGAAATATTGCGATCGGGGTAAGCTAATGGGGAATACTGGCCTGGCCGACGGCTGGGGATGATATGATGGGGAGGTGTTGAAGGGACGGTAAACACAAAGTAATATATGGGTGGTGAGAGGGCGCCCCCGGCTTTTGATCTTCTGAGTTACAATGCTGGACCGGAGCGATCAATGACTATATCCGGCCGAGCGGTGTTCCCATGAGAGAGCTTTTATATATGCTGGACACAAACATACCGTGGGGCAGAGGGAACTGAGCGTACAAAACTGATCGGGGACGTGGTTTGAAGCTCCGTTTTTCGACAAGCAACCCAGCCAAAAACGGATGAACAGACGTTTAGTCAATGAGAAACAATTTGAAATGTTTAGATAAATGGTGAATGCTTTACATACCGAAAGGACCGGGCTGTGCCGAGTTGGACAGTTGATCAGGGAGATGGAAGTTTCAAGTTATGCCGATTGTCGACGGATCAAGAGAGCTGAACTAGCGTACCGTCAGAGCCGGAACGTGGTCAAGCCTCTTTGGGTGGGTTTGATTTCAGAATTGGACGCATTGCGGTATCACCATTGTCGTACGTTGTGGTGCCTTCGTTGAGTGTCCGCTCGAATCGTTTATCTAACCAAACAAGGATTTGACTCAATGTGAGCAGGCTTGAATCCCGTCGCAGAATGAGTGGGATTATAGTAATATGTAGGAACAACCAGCTTGGGAGCTTGATTGGGAACCAGTACTGGCGCCCAACACCCAATGCAATACGCATACATACATGATAAATAGTCACACGCATGCGCGGTTGATGTCAGTTGTTTGTACTACTAGTACTTGAGAGCTGTGAGAGAGAAGACGTACCATGTCCGATCGAGTTGAGCTTGTCGTTCTGATTTGAGGGTACATATAAGGACGGATAATGTCGATGCCTGTGGGCAGGCGACGAATGCACAACCGTTGGCAAGTGATTAATAGAACTTCACGCTTCACATAAATACATTTTTGCTAAGTGGATAATCAACGAATCGCTTCACTCGGTGAACTCTGTCTCATGATGCATGGTAGAGGTATGTGTCCTGATCTGTGTTCCCCTGGTTCCCCCGTTGCCCGTTCCGATCATCTTCTGACGCATCAAAACTTCTTATGTACCACCCGCGCGAACAACAAATTATGATAAGGTCAGTGTCACAACTACCGAGAAGCTTTTCCCCATTGACCTGGAACTGATGTTTTGCTTTTGTTGGTTGGCAAGATAGGCTCAGCGAATGTTGACCGCCCGGCGGAGAACGGTGGCTCATCAACGCGCAGTACCCGGTCGGCGCAGTGTGGGCAGATACCTGAGGAAGAGACCGGCAGACATCCTTCCAATACCCATGATCAGGTTCACGACGCTTTGCAGTCACCAGGGCGCCTGGCAGTCTGGCTAGGTAAATAGCATGCCGGCTCTCGCAGAAGCTTTGATGACGATGTCTGACCAACTTTTTTATTTCAGCACCTTCGAGGATCAAAGTAGACGAGTTGCGAAAAATCCTCACGGAGCACAAAGTAATATTTCAACCCGGGGACAAAAGAGAACGGCTTTTGCCACTTTACAAAGATCTGAGACTCCGACACCGACAATCTCAAGACGTGGGCAGGGATGTAGGAACTGATGCGAGGAATTCCACCGTGGGGCCCAGAAGGAAACGTCGTACGTAGTTTGCTTCAGACTAGAGTGATCATTGGCTGACTGCTTTTTGGTACACAGCCTCAGATGCAAAATTACCTGCGCGTAAGCGGGCACGCAAGGCTATTTCTGGGGGGGTACCTTCGACCACGGCCACTGCAGTTGCAGGGGACGCTCAATGCTCTCGTACGGCTTTGCCGTCTACGGTTGCTGAAGGTTCATCAGCAAAGAACGTCCAGCCCGGCGTTAACTTGCCTTCTCAAGTCACTTCAGCCGGTCCACAAGCACCACCCCGCGGCACCATCTGGCTCGGTAAGGGTCACTTTGACTGTGCTAGAACCCTCACAGCTCTCCGCTGAAACGCCTGTTTGTGTACTCTAGCGCCTTCCAGGATTAAAGTAACAGAGCTTCGGAAAGTGCTCGAGGAGCACAACGTACCCTTTGCACCCGGCGACAAAAAAGAACGGCTGTTGGCACTTTACAAACCGCTGAAACTTCAACATTCGAAAGCATCCAGTAGATCAACTCAACTTGGCGGCTTGGGAGTTGCTTTGGAAATCGCAACCGAGAATTCCAACGTGGGGTCCAGGAGAAAAACAAGTTCGTAAAGCTTGACTGCCAGATGATTTCTTGTGAATGATTCTCTGATATATTTCTGTTTACAAAGGAGAAGAAGAAGAATTGCCCCCAGGTAAGCGGCCGCGCACGACCCCAAACCCCCCGTCTGGCGCAATGCCGTTAACAACGGCCGTTGAAGAGGGAAAGCACAGCATGGAGAATTCCGATACGACTCCGCCCTCGACAGGAGCTGAAGGATCATCGGCAGCGGCTCTCCAGCCCGACTCCAGCACACATACCAAAAGCTCTTCAGTCGGCCCACAGACCACGTCACGCGAGACAAATCTGTCGGAGCTTCATCCCGGACCTTCAGAGGAAGAGATTGACCAGCATCCTGACGCACTTGGAGCACACGCTGACCCTCCCGAGTCCAACTCACCCACTCGCCGCCGTGAGAAACAGCGGATGGAGGTTGCCCCGGAAGACTCAGCGCAACCTGGACTCCAAGCGGAGCTTCCAGCCTCTGCTCCATCCTCGCAAGTCCCTGGTACCCTTGAAACACCCCCCGAAACAAACCAAATCGCACCTGGCCACCATGAAAAACGTCGGGCGATGTCCGCCGATAATTTCACGAGCCAAGCGACTCCTGGCATAATCCGCTCGCCTTCCGATGGGTTGAATGCACTCATTCATCCCTCAGGCATCATCCAAGTAAGTGAAAGTTTCAGATCACAATTTTTGAACTAATTACTCATCTTCACTCACTCTTCATAGCACGACGACGCGTTTCCTCGAAAGAAACCTCGCATGGATCCCTCTGGTACAACTTTGGCCCTCTTACCTCCAGGAAAGCGATGGCGTCGCAATCGCAAGGCAATCCTACCTCCTCGAGAAAATCAAGTGCTTGCAATCAATCATCTGGCGGCCGAGCAGTCAACAGGTAACTCCTCCGACACTGGGTGCTTCACAGGCCAATTTACTTTCTCCGCCCCGTTGGAGCTAGATGTCGTTCCCGGTAGACCAGGTATTCGATCGGGTCCCGCGTGCATTCCAGCACCTAATGATCAAGCCCCCTCATTTGTCAGCACGTTCAGTGATTTAGGTTATGCTGAGGTCCCCTTACCCGCAGATCATTTACCTGCGCCGGCGCCACTCCCGGAGTCTACTGCGCCAACTTTACAAACACTAGCCGATGGACAAGCTGGACAAGCTGACTGCTCGAGGCCATCTTGTATTACATTCCAACCGCTCAATTCCGCCGAGGGTGATCCTAGCGCTAAAGTGGGCACCCCGCGCATTTCAACAACCAACAACCAAGGAACCTCACTTGTTTGCGCTATCAGTGAACAATGGGACGACTCAAACATTTTGTCCGGAGTTCTGCCAGCCACTTCGGCACCACCCGCGGAGCACGCGGACCTTTTAACATCCGTTGATCAACCACCGACCCTTGCTGGCGCCACTAGGGAACCAAGGAATCCTTTACTACCTCTACCAGCAGCTCTTCCAACCCCTTTGACGCCTCCCACGCACTCTGCCAACTTACCAGTACCAGTTGATGAACAAACGCCATTGTTCGATATCTTGGTCCCGGAGCCTGACCCGTCTATCTCTCGAGAGATGCTGGGACTTGATTTTGCCCTTGACGAACACACCTTGGAATCCTCTCCGACATGCCTTCCAAAACCCGCCGATCAGGCAATTACCCTTTCTCCTTCCTTTCACCGAGATGATTATTCTACACGGCCCAATTCAGCTGAGGACGCTGTGGAACTACTCAACCAGGGAGATAGAGCTTGGAGGGGATATAGACAACTACACTAGTGCTAATGTAAGTTGATACTACAGGTGCTGATGAGGCTGCCCTCCTGTACAATGCTGATGGGAAGAGTGTAACACTAAGAAAAAGAAGAATAGAGGTGTGGCTGATTTCTACTTTATCTTAGACTACTATTACTGATGAGCTTGTGTATGTAGTACCTACTGAGGTGTGAGGAGGAGGAGGAATGAGGTGTGAGGGGATAATACTGGCAAGGGTGTAACACTGGCAAATGAGGAATGACACTGGCAAATGATGATAATCTGGCAACTGAGGATTTATAACTGGCAAGGGGTGATGTATAACTGGCAAATATAACTGGCAATGATATCTGGTAAAGATATAAGGGTGATGATAATTTCTAGTACTAAAACTATGGATAGACTAACATAAAGAATGCCTGGAAATCACATAAGGGAAAAATACATGAGGAGGAAGAAAGAGTATATATGTGTACAACATGTACATACAACAGCAAAGCACCATGGCTGGGGAAATCCTGGCTATGGGTAATGTAAATCTTAAACAGTAATGAGGGATGAGAAATAATGTAACCTAGAGATAGATGTTCTGTGTATACAAATGCTAATCATAGATGGAAAGTCAAAGCTGTGTGAAGAGAAATATGTATATGATGTAGTTCAGATAAGATGATGTACTATGATGAAAGAGTGATGCTACATAGATACTGTAACTAGATAATGAGTAATGTATATGTACTGTATGTACAAAGTAATGTACTGTTCTGTAACTATGAATATACTGAAGAGATGATAACTAGAGAACTATAAGAGCTACTGAAAATCTGTATGAGGTGACTAGGGGTGAAATAATGTGTAGAATCTGAATATGAAATAATATTGGGAAGAATGTTTGTAGAAATGATGTGAAAAATGAGGATACATGGAAAGGTATGGACATACCTAGAGATGGCCCCGTTGCATCCGGATATCCGGCTGCCTTTTCAGGGGGAAGCCACATCCGCACCCGCAACCGCAACCGCGGGCGGGTATCCCCCCGCCTCAGCGGGTATCCCCCCGCCTCAGCGGGTATCCGAGCGGGTATCCTCGGATACCCGGCCTTTAACTGGCCGGCGAGGCACATCCTTGCCGGCTGGAAGGGCTTCCTTCCAGCCGGCGAGGCATGTACCTCGCCGACTGGAAGGGTTTCCTTCCCGGCGACTAGGTACATGTACCTCGGCGGGTGGAGGGAT